TAAAATAAATACAAATAAGAATAAAATAAAATAAAATAATAAAAAATTATGAAAGTGGAGGAAACCCATGGTAACAATGGATAATAACCCATTACAAGTAATATTGAAAAGTAACACAACAAAATTATTACATAATATACATAGTGTACCAAATGTGGAACATTTCAACATAAAGGTAATAATTGACAAAATAAGAAAGTAATATTTCTAGTTCACCATGGACATAGATGTGAAAAACTATATAGAAACTTGTAAATTATATCAATGACAGGTAAGCTTATAAAAACTAAAGAAATGTGACTCATTAAAGTAGAGCAAACTTTCAAGCAACTAGAAATAGATATTGTGAAACCATTGAAACTAACATTTATGAAAAAAAGATATACTATAGTAATTACAGACTATTTTACAAAATGGCTAGAAGCCAGAATAATAGAAAAGACAAATGCAATGACCATTGCATGGTTCCTATATGACGAAATTATATACTGCCACAGATATCTGTAAGAGATACTGTCAAATAGAGGAGCAATATTTATCAGCTAAGTAATAATGAATCTAGTAGAGATAATGAGATCTCATTATAGACTTATATTTGCATATCATTTCTAAAGTAATGGCCTAATAGAGTGATATAACCAGACCTTATGTCGAGCTCTGAAAAAGTGCATACAAAAGACAGTATGTAATTGGAATGTATTAATATCTCTAGCACTTTTCGTGTATCAGACCATTAGAAATAGAATAACAAAGTACAAACCTTTTTACCTACTCTATGGTTGTGTGCTTCCATTGTCCATAGAGCTTGATATAGTAATATGGCTAGCTACAGAAATTAATGAAAGACAGTATAAGAATTCAATTGATAGAAAAATCAGTGAAATGGTAGAAGTATCTGCAAACAACAAGATTAAAGTGTCCAAGAACATAAAGGATACTCAATTATAACAAAAAAAAGCCTATTATAAAAGAACCTATATTATGACATACAGAAACAACAATATGGTACTAGAATATCAATCAGATTTATAAAATGTTTATGAAACAAGTTTCAGAACAAATGAACAGAACCCTTTTACATTCATCAAGTTTTGAAAAATAAATTATACATATTAAGAACTAGTAATGAAAAAAATATTGAACTATTGACCTGTATATAGAAATCATTTAAGGTCTTACAAATAAAGGGGTTTTATCTTACATGAGATAACAAAGAACAATAACCATATATGAAAAAGTGAGAATAAAGTGTAATATTTTTCAAAACATGATTAAAAATATTTAATATGGTTCACTTAAAAATTTCTGAAAGTTTTTGCAAATGTGTCAGCAGATTATATTAAGAGTTATTGGAAATATCAAGAGACACACAGCTTATATTAGAAGATTCAGGAGTATACCTAATAATGGAAGGTTATACAATAAACTTGGAAAAGTTCACAAATAATGAAGTGGTGTGACAAAGAATGATATGTTACTCCTATATGTCCTGAATGTAATAGTCATATCCAAAGAAGTACATGATCTTACAGAAACAGTATTTGATTATGGCATAGTAGGATTGCTCTTTATAACCACAGATCCAGATAATCTTAATGGATAGTGGATAAATCCTTATAGAAAATTCAGAGAATATATTTGTACTTTCCAAGAAACCTGTATAACTACATCAATAAAACATGAGTTGCAAAGGTATTTCCATTAGAACAGATCATAAACATATCAGAAAGTGCAAAGAATAAGATCTTTCATACAAGCAGTCAGAATGCTATAACCAAAGAATCTTCAACTGGTCACACCTGACTAAATTTACAAGCTTCTGAAACAGAAGTATGAAAGATTGCTAAAGATGTGTGATAAAATGCAATTGCAGTTAATAAATAATTTATGAAATATGAGTGTGAAGTCACAGGAGCTTCCCCTTGAAGGTGAAATATTTGAGAATGCACAAATTTGAAGTGTTGTGGATGTCATAGGAGATGACAGTAAGATGACAGTGTTATCAAGATGAGTGTGTTATCATCTAGATAATAGATTATTCATCTTTGTGTGAAGTATTTCATCCTTGATGTTATTCTTCATCCTTATGTGTGTTATCTTTAAAAATAGAAAAGATATATTGAGATGTGACAACAAAGGGATGAAGAAAAACAAGTTTGAAAATGTATAAAATAACTGGTAATTTAAAATGTGAAAAGAATTGACTTATTTTTGTGATTTTTATAAATTTTAATTTCTTTTGACATATTTCAAATAATTATAAAAATCTTTCACCTAATGTGTAATAATATAATAATAATCTTTTAGTATATATTTTCATAATAAAAATTTAATAATAAAGATAGAAATGTATTGTAACAATTTAGCAGCAGTGATAAGATATGTCAAAGCAGTGATATATTTTTGTTGTTACATATTTGCAATAAGTTTAATAATTTCAGCATACTCTGTAATAATTTGATACATCTTTAAAATATTTTATTTCATAACAACGGTAATATTGGTGAGAAATGTTTAAGTACCCATAATACCTCTATTACTAATTTTGTAATTTCTTGAATAAAGTTACTGAATAAAGTTTGAAGCTTAGATTTGGAAGTTTGCGTAGTAAACTGTAAAAAGATACTTTTACTCCACTTACTTATGTACCTTCAGATCACACCTGTATGTACTGTGTTAGAGTTTATTTTATATCTATTTGTTGCAAGTAGACAAGTGACCACTTGATCCTACTGGCGGATAGTGGACATTACGAAATATTGCATACAAAAGTACATTGAGTTAGTACGAAAAGTGGTGTGATGAGAATTCAATTTAGTGGGACTAATTGATGTAACTTTATTCCTTATTCTGAACAGACTGCCACAATACCAGTTCAACTATTATAACTATAGACAGAAAAAAACTTGTTCTCATAATTTCTATTTAGCAAACCTGTAAGTCAAAAACTAATGTTTGTTCATGATTACAGCTTTCCATTAGTCTTACCTGGGATATAACTATTGTTATCTGTGTAAACCTTCTACAATTTACAAAGACAACGGGATAAAATAATACTAAAACTAATAAATAAAACTAAGTA